ACTACACACTTTCATATTTTCCCCCTTTCTTCTCTCCTTTTCTCTCTTTGTCGGCTTTTAATTTCATTTTCCGCCTGTGCTCGGCACTTGTGCCTTAATGGTTTTATCTTGTTACTACTCGCTTAATGGGGAAGGTGAGGGACAGCACCGCACTTCCACAGCCCCCGCCTGAGCCCGGTGCGGTGAACGTCAAACAGGTATTATCCTGTGTCTTCGCCTCTCCTCTTCTGCTTTCCTTCTTCCTCAGCATCCCACCTAGTTCCAGCCCGCCAAACGGCAAATGGACTCATTGTTTATCCATCCGAAAAAGTGGGAATTAAAGGAAGAAAAAGGAGGGGTGGCAAAACAAAAAAAAAGGAAAAAGAAAGAATGCAGAGAGATGGGCTTGCCCACAGTCCCCTTGTTCCTGTTGTTGTTCTTTCATGTATTACTCGACGCGTCCACTGGGTTCCACTCCGTTCCCCCTGCTCTTCCTTCAACAGTAGTACCTTACCTTCTGTCGCGTTTGCCGTTAACCTTCACCTTTCCTGTGAAGAGGTGCTTTGGGCGAAGGTTTGGTGTGTCACGGTCGGCCTCGCCCTTCTTGCCCTGCCGGTTGCGAGAGCGTGACTTCACCTTACTCAGCTTCACCGCACGAAGCTTTTGATTGATGTCTCTGAAGCCCTCCCCTCTGCTCACACTCAAGGAACGCTCACGGCTTGCGGAGCGAGAGCTAATGCTACGCGTGGTTTTCGTAGACACATGTGTCGAACCCGAGCGATCGCGCATGATTGCCTCTTGTGCGACTGACATTGAGCGGCCGCGCTTTCTGCTGGCAGTAGTAGCAGTGGCCGCGGGTGTCGCAGAACGAGCGTCTTGACTACCAGTGCGCCCGTTGAACCTGTTAATCGCATCCGACTGCTGTTTGGTGCGACGAATAACAGGGTTCTTCATCGCCTTCTCCATCTTCAACACCTTAATCTTATCCTTAATAAAGCGCATGGCTTCCAACGTGGCGTCATCCAACTCGTACTGGGGGTGCTTCTTTGAGGCCTCCATCTCCATCTCCTGCAATCGCGCATCCTCCTCCGCCTCCAACTCAAGCAGTCGCTCGTGGATGTCTGGGTCAATGTTGTCGTAGATATTATGGCCATCCATAATATCGGGAATAATGTCATTTACCCATTCTGTATTTTCCAAATCCCACGTCTTGCGTTCATTGGGCTGATACCTCCCTGGTCCGCCGTTTTCCCACTCGTAGTCTCGCTCTGTCTTTCGGCGAACACAAGCTGGACCCGATGCGTCACTCTCCTCCTGGTCCCTCCTCACGGTGGCTGGAAGGTAGGCTGGTCGCTCCATGTTGTCCCGCTTTTGCGGTACCGCACAGTAGAGACGGTTTTGAATTGCCTGAAACCGTCCACTGTTTTCCTTCTGCTCAGAGCGGTGAACCAGCAACGTCTCACATGCCAGTGTCTTTAGGTCCCCGACACCTATATCTGTTAAAGTGCTGGTTGTGACCCATTTCGCGCCGGCCTCCTCAACGGCCTGCATGATAAGAGACTGCTCCTCTGTGGATACATCGTCGATGGTGCATACGTCACTCTTGTTGAAAACAACAATGACGGGTTTTCCAGTAAAAAGTGGTCCAATGGATTGGAAGAGCGAGAGTTGTTGCGCGATGGAGTATCCACACTGGGTGCTAAGATCCATGAAGAAAAGAACGCATGCACGAAGGTGCGCCAATGCCGTAATTGCCTGCATCTCAATCACGTTACGTTCCTCAAGTGAGTGGTCAAGAATGCCAGGTGTATCAATCACCTGCCAAGTGGTGTACTTGTAGTCGGTGTGACCAACAAAAAGGGACTTCGTTGTGAAGGCGTACGGCTGCACCTCCACATCAGCACGGGTCACCTTGTTCATAAAACTTGACTTTCCCACGTTCGGAAACCCCGTAATGAGCAGCGTTCGGGCGTTTGGATCAATAGATGGCAGACGGGACATGTGTTGTCGCACCTTTTCCAGGTATACCATGGCACTGCTAAGTTTCTTGCAGGCAGTTGCCATGCGTCCCAGTGCGGCGCGCTTCAGCTGCTTGCAGCGATAAAGTGAATCACCGTACTTTAGCAACCGCACATAATCCCTGCCAATGTTGTCCACCATATGCCGCACAGCTCCCACCTGACCCAGTGCCACTTTGTAGTGGTCGCGATCGTACAGCACGTGCATAAGGTCTCCGTAAAAAGGATGAATGTCATCCATGCGGGGGAACTCTGACAAGACATGCGTCAGTTTCTCGTTGATTGTTTTTTGCGTGAATTTTACCTTTCGCATGTAAAACTGGCGAATGCGAGAGATATGGTAGCCCTTGTGCACCACTGTGGGCGTCTTACGCTGCGTCCTGGAGAGCACGATGTCCATGAAGTCTTTGTACGTCGGGACGACGGTCATCGTATTGAAGTTGTAAATGGTGGACATGATGAAATCTTTCCGTACTTGCACACACCGAGACCCGCACACAATAACGCCACCACTTCGCTGAGCTCCCCCTTTAGAGTTTTTGTTTTTGCTGTTGCTGTTTCGTATTCTATGTGCCTTTTTGAGGTTCTCTGTCTTCCACCGTTTGTTTTTTTTTTTGTGTCTAAACCCCTACTGTTCCAAGATACAGAGAAATAGACAAGCGGCTTTCCCTCTTCTTTCACCCTTTAAAAAAAAAAAAATGAGCTTAAACTCACGCGGCCTTCACACCGATGCCTTCGCCCCTTTCTGTGAGCCTGCGCTGTCGCGTGGAAAAAGAAAAATAAGAGAAAAGACAGAGAACACCTCCAAAAGGAAAAAATGCAGTGGTCCCTTGTGGCCGCAAGAGACCCAAAGTGAGGGGGAAAGGGAGGGGAAAGCAAAATACACACACAAAAAGAAAAAAAACGCTGGACAGCTGACAAGGAGCATCTCACACAGCGGGACGTGGACGGCTGGGATCCTCCATCCAGCCCGCACAACTCCCAACTCCCCGGCGATCAGTTTTGGCCTGGTGGTGCACTGGACTGACACCACGCGATATCACGGCAGACCCCCACAAAGCCTGTCATGCGCCACACTCCACTCCCTTTTTGTGCAGGTGTCTTTCTCCTTCCGTCGCTGTTCGGCACAACGGCTCCACCTCCGATATCTCCACCACGACAATGTGGCTCATCACGCAGCTGACCGGGGGGGGGGGGGGGAGAAGGAAAGTTTCCGCTGTATCAACGCCCCGCCGCAACAGAATCAAGAGAGGTGGAGACATGAGGTTCAAGTGGGT